TCACCCCGCCATAGGCGGACATTGTATGTCCTTGGTTCGGTATGTATCATCTACTATCGGCCTGAAAGCCGAAGGTCCTTTGATAGTCCGATCGGACAAGAGAGATCTGACTCGATATTGTGATAGATATAAATCCATTTCAAGGATCTTCAAGGCTTCGATTCTTTCCCCCTTTTCGATATTGTTCTTCAAAATTCTTCATTATGGCAGAAAAACCCAAAGTCCTCTTCCTCGGCAGTACCAAACAGTAAGTTCTGCCAATACCCCAAGGAACATGAATGTTCTATATTCTCCCTCTACAGATATCATAGTTAACGCGCTGCTCTAGAGCTCATGAAGAGTTTGCCTCGCTCTGTGAGATTATAGAACCTGTCTACCCACAGTCAAATGAGCGATCTGCTTTTATAGAAGAGACCAAGTCTGGTGCTTTCGATGGAGTCAAGGCTATCTATCGTACAAACAAGTCTGTTGGCATTACTGGACTCTTTGATGCCGAGTTACTAGATGTCTTGCCCAAGTCTCTCAAGTTCATTTGTCATAACGGTGAGTGCTTCGAGTATGCCGTGACCAGGTTTACTAAATAACTACTTCAGGCGCCGGATATGATCAAATTCATGTCTCTGAATGCACCTCTCGTGGTATTCGTGTTTCAAACACACCCACAGCTGTAGACGATGCCACGGCTGACATCACTATCTTCCTTCTTATCGGCGCCTTGAGAAATATTTCATCCTCAATCTTCACTCTCCGAGAGGGAACCTGGCGAGGTTCCCCTCCACCTTCACTTGGTCATGATCCTCAAGGCAAAGTGCTAGGCATTCTAGGCATGGGAGGCATCGGTCGCAATGTTGCACGCAAAGCCCGAGCTTTTGGCATGACTGTGAGATATCACAACCGAAGCCGTTTATCACCTGATCTAGAGGACGGTGCTGAGTATGTTGACTTCGAGAAACTTCTTAAAGAAAGTGATGTGTTGAGTCTCAACTTACCCCTGAATGTGAGTCTAGTCATGAGTGGGATATTCAAGGGATTCCAAACTGACCTTTTACAGCCCAAAACCCGACATACTATCGCAAAGCCTCAATTCGACATTATGAAGCGTGGCATTGTAATTGTCAACACCGCTCGTGGTGCAGTGATGGACGAAGCTGCTCTCGTCGACGCTCTTGAATCAGGACAAGTTGCTAGTGCTGGTCTTGATGTCTTTGAGAACGAGCCAGAGGTCCATCCAGGGCTCTTGGAGAACAAGAACGTCTTGCTTGTTCCACACATGGGAACGTGGACTGTAGAGACCGAGAGATTGATGGAGGCTTGGGCTATGGACAATGTTCGTCTTGCAGTGACAGAAGGAAAGTTGAAGAGTATCGTTTCTGAGCAGAAGGATCTGCAATAGACGGTAACTCTGTCCCCACATCAGAGCGTTAACGGTGTAAAGAGCTCGGAACGTATAGAATGGGCGAACAAAATAAAATTAGATAGCCCAAATGAAGCTCTGTTGTGTAACACAAGATCCCAAGCTGACCTAAGACTCTGAGTACTTGGGATGAAAGTCTTTCATCTCATCTTCACCTACACTACCAAGATCGGATGATAGATTGCAAATAACCTTATATCTGCTTAATTGACTTTTAGCTGGCTACCTTAAATTAGAACAGCTCAACAGTTGAAGCAAACCTGGTAAAACAATAAGCCCAAAGCGACCCAGAGCACAAGCAATACATGACGGCTTCAACCCAAGACTACGTAGAAGTGACCGAGCCTTTGCGCAGTAGACAGTCAGAGGATATCATAACGAAATAATCACATAAGGAGCAATAGTGTTAGAGTCAGAATCTCTCTTTTTGAAGTTCTACTCTATCCTGGCCACGGTTGACGGGCCTGCCTGTATCGAGTTACCATCTCATCCATCCCTATGGGGGAGGTCTCGTCTTGGTCATATCCGTCCATATCATTCCATTCATCATCCATTTTTATAATCTCGAAGGGGGGAATCATGATTAGCAAAAAAGCCAACGCCATTTTGTTGAAAAAGCAAGATTTTTTTGCCCCTCCCTGCACCCTGCGAGGAGTCTTCTCGTTGATGATTCAGAGAAGTAACCCAAATAAGCAGAAACAAAGAAGAGAAGAGAAAAAAAAATCAGAAAACCGCAGATGTCCTTGTAACTCTCCCAACCCATATGCCACGCAAGCTCATGCTGTTGAAACTAGAATTTTGCCGATTGTCATGTCGACAGAAGAGGGAAAAGTTCGTTACACGTAGGAATCCAGTTGAAGGATCCTGGGTATTGATTACACACGCTTAGTAGCGGTAGATATCGGCCTTGAAGGGACCCTCGACGGTGAGGCCGAGGTACTCAGCCTGGACCTTGCTGAGGGTGCTGAGCTCAGCCTGGCAGTGGTCGAGGTGGAGACGGGCGACCTCCTCGTCGAGGATCTTGGGGAGGACGTAGACACCGACGTCGAGCTTGTCGGTCTTGGCGAACTCGACATACTTCTCACCCCAAGCCTTGTCAGCGGCCTTGTACAGCATGATCTGGGCAAGGACCTGGTTGGTGAAAGAGCAAGACATGACGAAAGAAGAGTGGCCAGTAGCACAGCCAAGGTTGACAAGACGACCCTCAGCAAGGAGGATGATGTGACGGCCGTTGGGCATGAGGAAACGGTCAACCTGGGGCTTGATGTTCTGGACAGAGCTGGCGTTGGCCTTGAGCCAAGCAACGTCAATCTCGATATCGAAGTGACCAATGTCTGTTTACCAATGTCAGTGATGAATCATTATTGAGTGAAAGAGTGATAAAACTTACTGCAGACGATGGCGTCGTTGGGCATAGCCTCGAAGTGCTCGCCAGTGAGGATATCACGGCAACCGGTGGTGGTGACGAAGATTTGACCGACCTTGGCGGCCTTCTCCATGGTGGTGACTTGGTAACCGGCCATAGCAGCCTGGAGAGCGTTGATGGGGTCAATCTCGGTAACGAGGACACGGGCACCCATGCCGTGGAGGGCCATGGCGCAACCCTTACCGACATCACCGAAACCGGCAACGACGGCGACCTTGCCAGCAATCATGACATCGGTAGCACGCTTGATACCGTCGACAAGGGACTCACGGCAGCCGTAAAGGTTGTCGAACTTGGACTTGGTGACGGAGTCGTTGACGTTGATGGCGGGGACAAGGAGCTTGCCATCCTTGAGCATGCGGTAAAGGTGGTGGACACCGGTGGTGGTCTCCTCAGAGACACCGAAGCAGTCCTTGAGCATCTCAGGGTACTTCTGGTGGACAAGGGTGGTCAGGTCACCACCGTCGTCGAGGATGAGGTTGAGCTTCTTGTTGTCCTTGAAGGCAGTGAGCTGCTGCTCGAGGCACCAGTTGTACTCCTCCTCGGTCTCACCCTTCCAGGCGAAGACGGGGACACCGGCGGCGGCAATGGCAGCGGCGGCGTGGTCCTGGGTGCTGAAGATGTTGCAGCTGGTCCAGGTAACCTCAGCACCGAGAGCAGTGAGGGTCTCGATGAGGACGGCGGTCTGGATGGTCATGTGAAGGCAGCCAGCAATGCGGGCACCGGCGAGAGGCTGGTCAGCAGCATACTTGGCTCGGGTCTGCATGAGACCGGGCATCTCATTCTCAGCGAGCTCAATCTCCTTGCGGCCAAAGGCGGCCAGAGAAAGGTCAGCGACCTTGAACTTGTGGGCGGGAGCAGACATGATGAATGGATGTGGAGGAGGAAGGGATGAAAGGATGGATAGGAAGAGGAGAGAATAGAAAGAGAAGAAGAAGGGATTGAAAAAGTTGAACGGGAAGAGGAAGAATATGTAGGTTGTAGAATCAACAACGAGATAACATTGGGCGGGGCAGAGAGAACTGCTTCTATGGGCTGAGAGCCTCTGGAGGGGCCTGGAGGGGGAGGGGTTGACCAGGGCCCAGCAGTGTCAGTGGGGTTTTTTTCGCGGGCGGTGAAGTCAATGGACGGCAAAATGAGGGGCAGAATTTTCTTCTGCCATTGAGGCCCAGCAATTTTGAGGCGGGGCAGAGCAGAAATGCACTCCGAGTCCAGTCGATCTCGAGGCTAGGTACTTGTAAGCGGGTGGTTGGCTGGGTGCTGAACCTGGTACCCTCGAAGAAACAGCGCCAAAAAGGTACCTCCGAGTGAGGGTGGATCTCAGGGACTCGGAGAATCCACCAGAGGAAAAAATAAAGAGGAGCTTTCTCATGATGGGAAGCTCCTCCAGGTCTTGGTACGAATACGGGACTAGTGAGAAGGAGACCACGTTGATTTTTCTCATTCAGTGAGTGGGCAAATTACTAGGCTTCTTTTTTACTGTCTATAGTGACTATTCAGTCGTCAATTGATCGTTCCGACTGTGCATATGTAACTTGCTTCGTACAGATGCAGCTTTGGCTGACTTTGACTTGACCCTTGATATTCCCCGCTCGGAAGCCGAGCACCGCTTCACGCGAACACTACGGGTCATTGATCGTCTACAAGCTACAAACAGACCGACTAATCTGTATATCCGAATATTCTGAGGGGAGAGTAAGCTCGGAGGCACCTCTTTGGTCTCGTTAAAAGACTCAATGATACCAGACCCATCACTCTGTTTCATACATCTTTTCGCCGCGTATAAGTGAGATGAGATATTTATACCATGAAACCCTGGTCTTGGATTAACCATGAACCACTTCAAATCCCGAGTTTATTTGCCGAGTTCACTCAAAGACAAAGCAACAAAGCGGCAGTACTAATGAACTTCTAAACGTAAAATTGTTTCAATGCTCTCAGACTATGAGAACTTGTTTGCAGGCGCTATCTACGAAGCCAGCTTTTTATGACCAAGGCAATGCCACAGTCGTGTCCATCTCTTCGTGACTCTTCAACATCAACACCAAGACATCAACGTCAGGCTGGCCCATCATGTGCTCATCAAGTGCTCCTTTCTTTCTGTCTCTCTCCCTCTCTCTCAACGCTTTAAAATCTAGACCAGCACTCGATATTATTCGACATTGTCCGGAACGCCGCCAATGCAAACCATCACTGAGCGTCTCGTATTCCTGAAATCCCTCGAGACTTTTTGAAATCCCCGTCTCGCCCGTCCTCCATCTATTTTGGCATCAAGTTCTCCCGCACGGCAAACATCTTGGCACTGACGTTGGCTGTGAATCCATCCACCTGCTTGCTGTATTGCTCCACCTGCTTCGCGTTCAGCATACCCTCCAGTCTGCTGGGCTCCTGGGGAAGCTTGAACAGTCGCTGCCACTCATCCTCGGGAAGAGGAGCCTGCTTGGCAGCAGCACGTTGGGCGTTCTCAGCCTTGCGCTTGGTCTGCCATTGTGTAATCTTGGTCTGCTCACGACCGAGTTGTCGCTGGTAGAATTGGAAGTTGTTGAGGTCGGTGTAGTGAGACTCGATGCTCTCGAGCAGAAGATCGCAGGTCTTCTCGAGGAAGGGGTCGATCGCAAGGTCGAGGTTGTCGATAGAGGGATACAGAGGAGGCTCGAGAGCGCTACGGTTGAGGTCGCCAAGCGATGAGGGCTGCTCAATATCGCCCTTCACGGGAGCGGAAGGAATCTGGTGGAGGAAGGTTGTGAGGAGGTGAGAGTTGTGGACGTTGACAGGGACCTCGGTGAGGATATCCTTGAAGGTGAGCTTAGACTTTTGCAAGCTGTTACTGGTTAGTATCTCTGTCTCCAGTCGTGGCAATAGCATCATCGTACCTCTCGGTTGTGAACTTGCCCTCCTTGTAGGCGCTCATGAAAGCAGGGGAGAGGCGGAAAGCCCGGAAGGTCAGGTTGCCCTGAGAGCTCTTGCTAGCATCATGGACGAGGGCGACAGTGTTCTCGTTGGCGCTTTGGTAGTGGAACTGGTTCTCGATGAAGTTCAAGTTGACAAAGTTGCCCATGGTGGCACTTGTGTACCAACCAACGTTGTTGGCGTCGACGTTGACCTCCTTGAGGTGTCGGATCATCTCATTTTGGTAGTGGATGTTGTTCTTCTGTCGGGGAGCAGCAGCGGCGATCTGCGAAGCATCGTTCTGGTGGCTATCGGTCGTAGCGGGGTCGACGGTAGGAAAAGGGAATGTGTTGGTGACCTCGAGGAGACCCTCGTTCTCCATACCAACAATAGCTCCAGTCGCAACAGAAGGGAAAGCCGAAGAGCAGTGCTTGGCAATCTTCATGATAACCTACACCACCGACTGAGGTCAGTCCCATTACTCTTTACTCGTACTTCAAGAGGGGGTCTCAAAGACCAAAAGGTGGGGCATATTCTACTCACCAGAGCCTCGACTTGAACGGCCTGGAAAGGCGCAGCAACAGCCGCATCGTTGGGAGCGTCCGCCATATTGACAAAAATTCGGGAGGATATATTCACGGTGCCGCGAGAGAAGGATAGAGGTTCGGCGCTACGATCGCGAAAGAGGCGGGTGGTGTTGCAAGGCTTCGGGGCTCTGAAGGTGGGAATATCGAAACTTTTCGTTCGTGTACTCATTTGTGGGCTGTGGGATTATCTAGGCGGTGAGGTGCGGCAGATTATATATCCCGCGATTGACGGTACGAGCCGACCTACGATCTTCGTTTATCACCATCAGGTCAAGCATACGGCGACCAGAAAAGATGCCTTATGTGCTCTAATTTACCGACATTACGCTCGATATCATGATAAGAAATAGCCATGTACTTTATCTCTTCGATACGTCTCTTCGCGGTCCGTTCTGAGCTCTGGCACTTTGCCCTCGTTCTCAACGTTCTACAGATCTTGAATGCCATCAGCTAGAATATCACGAGCAATCTAAAATCTAATTATTGTTTTATTTCGTTTATCATTCTACTGTCTAGTCCGTTTTCCGAGAAAATCATCATTTATCCGAGCAAACGCCATTCTTTTTTCTGTCCCATGTTTTTCTAAACCCTCAAGACCGACACCAAACGCCTCATAAGCTTCCTGAATAAAAGGTTTCAGAAGTCTCAAACCTTGTCATCTAATCCTGCCAGGGGATGATCTCCCAGCTCTCGGCATTGTCCCGAATCACAAGTCGATGTTGATCAATTCTCCAGAATGCGTACAAGGAGCGAGTTGCTCCAGCAGCCTTGCGATGGGCTGGGCCTGTACCGCCATTCTTAGCATCTTCCCGCGAACGCCAGACACAAGTCGCCAAGTTGGCCAACTCTGAGTCAGGTTCACCAAACCAGTATCTGTTCATGTCAATACGATGGACCCATACAGAAGATACACTTCCAACTTACTTCAGGAATCCACCACTCGCCACGGCCTCAGCGTGTGCTCCCTTGTCGAGAACACCCAGGTCAGCATACTCGGTCTCCTTCTTGATTCGTGATCGGAATGCCACGATATAGAACGATGTTTCTTTGAAGGGTTTTCCAGATTCGACCGCAAGACGTTTCACTTCTTCGATCACCTCTGGCCAGTTGAAGGATTCTGTGTATGGGGCTGTCGCATAGTCGTCGCGAAGAACTCGAAGTTGACTCAAGGCTCGAGCGAGGAGCTCATTTTCGTTGTCAAGAGTGTCGAGGTCAAGCAAATGCTCACGTTCCGTGTATGGCGATTGGATAAGATACCGGTGGTTGGATGCGAGTGCTGGGCTAATTTCTCTCACGTCGACTTCGGCAGCTGTTTTGGAAAATACGTCAAGTGATGATCCAGGGGCTGTTTGCACATCTGCAGTTGCCATTGTGGGTTTTTTTGAGTTTTGCTGTGTGGTTGAAGAGGTACCGAGTGCGCAGTCAAGACAGAGTGAAATGGTTTGGGTATCTCGACACACAACGGCAGAAGATGGAAGGGAAATATAAGGAACTACGAAGTCAGGGCGCGGCGACGGCGACAGCGAGTCATCAGCAATTTATAGCACTCGATACATCTTTACAATCTCTTAGGCAATCAAGCCTTGAATAACGTGCTCAAATGACACCATCCGAGCCGGACGACGACGGTTACACATGTGGGTCGGTGAAGGGTGTCAAAGGGTCGTTCTGCCGGTAGTTCTCGAAGTTACTTACTTGTTAGTGCGGATGGTCGGGCGTCTCAAAAATGGCACTCTTCGAACTAGACCGGTCAAGACTTGTTGTCCGAGTCAGCTAGGCGTGTTATCTGAAAATCGGAGAACTCTGCAAGTCGTTTTTTACTGGAATACCTTGATAAACGGCTTCGCAAGATAACGAAGTATGCCGGAATTCTCGTTGTCTCTGAGAGATCCGGAAACTCGCATATCAGAGACATGGATCTATGGCGACTTCTCACCAAACCATGATGAAATACCGGGATCGGCTACAAGTAACGAGCGAGATCCTTCCTTCACCGCCAGAAGAACGCTTCATCGACCATTTCACCGGTTTCGGGCATCCATGGAAGGACAAGGTGAAGAGTCGGAACAAAGAAGGAATTATACTTTGGTGTAACCAGGGGTCCTTGATAACACGGATGTGAGACTAACGCAGGCCAAAATGCAATGACATGTGGCTGCGGTTGGCGCTAAAAGAAAATGGCCGACGGTACGACCCAACCGACCATCTCGAATTACTACTACACCACACGGATACAATACTACATATTCGAGGTCAGCCGGACACTCGACGAGAATGACTCTTTGTTGACAGTTGCTTTTCACGTAACCCATTTACACACTACATTGTAAGGACCATGCCTTAATCTCCCAATCAAAGTCAACTCTTAAAGTTCTGAAAAGCTTCGTTTGCACGCATTTTTTTGAAGCAGCATAATTAGAAAGCATGGTCTTCGTTCTCATCGTTCCCCTCTGATTATAGAAGACGTGATCTGGCATTGTCGAATGAATTCTCTGGATTACGAGCCTCCCTCGGGTTGTCGCACATAACTTTGTGAAGACGTCAGAAGCCACGGGGATGTCGACATCTGATCTACGATCGTGCTCGTTGATCATTGTATAATTTCATAATTATTATAATTTTGTGATACAGTCCTTTGGGGTCTTTATATCAGTCAATTGATATGGAAATCGCTAGAATATATGATCGAATATCTAATTGGTTTATCACAACTTATATCGCACACCATCACAATGGACCATCGTCCTCCACATCTGTCTTTCCCCTTCTCAACCAAACTTTGGCCATCTCATACGACCCCAGATAGAGTCCACTCCCTAGCATCGTCCACCCGGATCGCAGAGCCGCACCCCGGAAGAATCCCCGCACTCCCCTCTCTTGGTAAACCTCCTTCGAGACAGTCCACGCCCCCTTCTTTGGTTGCTTCCCCTCCATCTTTGCTGCGACTTCGCTCTGGCCTTGTGTCGACTTCTCGCTCTGATTTCCGGCACTCAACATCATCCTCGTCTTGACGACATCACTCGGTGTCGTTATGAAGGCAGCTATTGATCCGGCGCTTCCAGCACTTAAACCTGTAGCGAGTCCCGTCTCAATCAGCCCCGGCTCCGAAGTTCCGGAGCCTCGTGATTTCCAATATGTTGCTCGCACATGTTCGAATATAGGGAATTGGAGAGCTGTGAATGGTAAATTTCGTGCGACGAGTGCTGTGTAGCCTGTAAAAAGGCGACGTGATACTCCATCACCGGCCAGCTGACGGAATGCCTGTATGGAGGTGGAAGATCCAGATCGTCCAACCCCATGACCATCATTTTGCAACATCTGAGCATTTTGCTTGATGACTTCTGCTGGTGCGAGGACTAGGCAGGATGCCATCTCTGCCACCCCCGAGGCTGCTGAGTGGACCAGTGGTTGTGGTAATGGCGTCGCATTACCGATGATGCGTTTGGCGCTCTCATATGTCGAGAAGAATAGACCCGCTGTGAATTGTGTAAGCCAGCAATTCCTCATATTACGTCTTCTGTTACAAACCTGCTGGAAGAGTAGCTAGGACTACACTTCCAATGCCCTGGTAGAGTCCTCGTACAGCCCATATGTTCTTTTTCGAGCTGTCAGAATATGTCTTGAGGTAATCTTGGCTTTGCAATCGAGTCTTGATGGTATCGAGAGGGTAAACCAAGACATCTACTGTAAATGCTGCAATAGCACCAGCCTATAGGTGTGTTAGTGAGTGTATCATACTCGGGAAATTGATTTATTAGCCAGCCTTACAATATATATGTCCGACATGTTCTTCTTTACACGTCTGCTGCATGCATCGTGATGATGAATTTCTTCCAGGTTGGTAGTGAAATATGGGCTCTCTTACACCATGAGCTGGTGATGTCATGGTTGTGTGCTTATATCCACTCTAGGATTACCCTGCACTTCGACTCATCATGGAAATATCTCGAGCTCACAGCATGTAAAAGGACGTAATATAACTCTGAATAAAGACATCTCTACTTTTTCAGTGGAAAACTCATTGGAACCCCCTGTCATGAGTCATAGGTATTTCAATTTATCATAAGAATAACTCCATATCGAGTTCAACACCTCACTCATCTTGTCTCATAACTCAAGTCAGATGATACAAATCAGAACTACTTTTAAGAATTAAGAATGTACATGATCCCATCTCTTGACGCCAGCCCATATACAACCCCATGATTCAATCCAAGCAAGCCGGCGCTTCCCCTGCCGTCTATGTGACTTAATGACTCCAAAACGTCCCAAGATAATAAATCACCAAAATGCTTGCGTTCCCGTCTTTATAAGATGTCCTCTGCTCTATCATAAAATCGCGCCGTAAATCCAATGACAAAGGAAATCATAGCTTGCTCTTTACAGCGGGGGTCGTCTCGTTAACTACAGCCACCACGACACAGATATCGTCGACTTTGCCGCCATGCCAGTTTTCTTGGGGGTAGTATTTGTGGACCTCCTTGGCGAATGGTCCATCAAGTTTTGTGTTGACGCTGGCTCGCTTGGCGGCTGTCACGATTTCCGTAGCGAGTGCGCTCTGGAGTGTAGCTGTTCGTTTGCCCTCGGAGGCTTCAGGGAACTCAACCAGAGGCTCTAGCGAATCCGCAACGCGCACACCTCCAGCATCAGTCATTACCCAGGCGCCTGTGGATACCAAAACTCGGCTGGCGATTCGCAGAATATCTTGGTTAAAGAGATTGTCTAGAACACCGTCGGTCGCAAGAATAAGAATATCGCCGTGACGGAGCGCGTGCTGGGTAACGTCAGCATCCCTGGGAAGGTCGCTAAGCTGAGCACCACCAAACGCTGCCATGCGAGCAGCAACGCTGGGAGGTACGAGAGATAGTTGGAAAGGAGTATTAAAGGCGTGTGTTTGGGGTTCGGAATATGTATGAACTCCATTGAGTCGAAGTTGCAAGAAGCCGGAATCACCAAGGTTCGCAACGTCCAGGTTGCCATCTGCTCCAGCAATAGCCACACATGCTGTGCTTCCGCCAGCACGGAGACTCTTGTCATTGCAGATTGCCTCGTATCCTTTCTGCATTAACTGTCTTGCCGTCAAGGGAGGCTCTGAGCTGGTCTGGTGCTCGTGGGCAGCCAATGCCATATAATCGCAAAATCCGTGTGAGAAATCAGCGGGGTCGACACCGGAATCTACCCAGCCCCCAACACCATCAGCAACGCCAAAGGCTACTGACCCGGAGTCGTTAATTCGGCTGACGAAGAAGGCATCGTGTCCAGATTCGGGTCGAGCGGAAGGTCGACGGTTTCGAGGGGGTTGAATGCGATTGTATGGGTTGAAGTGGAAGACGTGAGTGGAGGGATCGTATGGCCTGTCCTTGGCAATGAAGGAGGAGGCGACATGGTAAGAGAATCGAGGAGCATCGTTGGAGGTGGAGTAGAGTCTGGAGCGAGGGCACGAACTCATTGCGACATGAGGATGAGCACGGAGTCGGGAGCAGGATTGCGTCGGAGCTGGCACAGTTAGAATTGAGGGTTGTCGAGTATTTTACGGGCAATGCGACCAACCCTTAGCAAGCGTTCGCAATGAAGCCGTAGCAAGTCGATTGTAGGGCGTAGCCATGAAGGGCTAAGGTGGGAAATGGATCGTCTAGAGACAAGATTCGATGCGAATAGTGACGAGTCGGAGCGAGGATCGGAGGAGGATTAAAATATTGGTGACGATAAGACTTTGATAGAAATTACAGAGAAATCATCTTTGCCAAGGAGATCGTAAGAGAAAAAAATTGGTGTCATGAGAGAAGTGGGATCGTGAACGGAGAAACAAAGTTGTTGAGCGCCGATTTACCAACTTGTTATCTAATCTTCCATGACTGGCCAAGCAAAGCCCCTCCAATGGATATCCTTTCACAAGAACCAATTCCTCGGAACAAAGAGGCAAGCCTCAGGGGGCAAGAAAACAGCGAACCTTAATAGAGGGTGTCAAAATAAACTCAGCAGAGGCTATCCTAAGCTTAGGCTATCTTACCTAAGTCTTTTTGTCATTTAGGATCAAAATCCTACGTTTTCTTTCCTCCCCTAGGCAAGCCACATACGGATATGCAAGATAAAATAAAAGGAGGCGGTGCATGGGTTCACAGCCACTGCATGCTTCTCCAAGATTTTCCCGGATTCCCATCTCCGCAATTATTGATACCCGCTGTTGATCCGCGATCTATATCCGTGAGCAAGGCAAGTCACGTGGTTTCACGAGCGCTGTTCCTGCCGATTCCGAGAGCAGCGAAGCCGAAGTTGACAATCGCAAATTTGTGATTGGCCAGAGGTCATCCGTAGGTCCCAGTGTAAACTGCAATAACCGAGGAAGGTTTGCCAACCCAATACATGACGACGAGAATCCTCGAAACGCCACCCTTTGCGAATAGACAATTCAACTCTATCGGAGGAGATTGCACGGCATTTCTTTCCTGTCAATTGTCTGACCACAGCTCCAACTAAACATTGCGAAGTTTGACTGTCCTTCTCCTCCGGTCCCAATCGCAATTGTACTTCCTCGATTCGATTCTTCGTCAAGATGGCCGCTCTTCGATCTTCTTCCCGACTCGTCGGAGCCTTCTCAAGGACGGCTGCTATCCGACCTGGCGCTGTCTTCACTCGTTCTATGGCCTCAGTCAGCGAGCCTCCCAAGGATTCTAATGCCAACCTCAAGTCTTTCCAAATCTACCGATGGAACCCCGACACACCCAGCGAGAAGCCTCGTCTTCAGACCTACACTTTGGACCTTAACAAGACTGGACCTATGATTCTCGATGCCCTCATCCGAATCAAGAACGAGCTCGACCCTACTCTGACCTTCCGACGAAGTTGCCGTGAGGGTATCTGCGGTAGCTGCGCCATGAACATCAACGGACAGAACACTCTTGCTTGCTTGTGTATGTACCCCTTCACCCAGGTCGCATGCGGCAAATCATGTCGGGAATTGAATTGCTAACACATTACCAGGCCGAATTCCCACTGAGGCTGCTTCCGACGTCAAGATCTACCCTCTCCCTCACACCTATGTTGTCAAGGACCTTGTCCCTGATTTGACACATTTCTACAAGCAGTACAAGAGCATCAAGCCCTACCTTCAGCGCGATACCCCTGCCGAAGATGTACGACCCCTTTCTCACATACGGAATCTTGCATTTACTAACCCAATTCTCAGGGCAAGGAGTACCGACAGACCAAGGAGGACCGCCGTAAGCTCGACGGTCTCTACGAGTGTATTCTCTGCGCCTGCTGCTCTACCTCATGCCCGTCTTACTGGTGGAACTCTGAGGAGTACCTTGGCCCCGCCATCCTTCTCCAGTCTTACCGATGGCTCGCCGACTCTCGTGACCAGCGCACCGCCGAGCGAAAGACCAACCTCGAGAATTCGATGAGCCTATACCGTTGCCACACTATCCTTAACTGCACACGGGCCTGCCCCAAGGGTCTCAACCCTGGCAAGGCCATTGCCGAGATCAAGAAGCAGATGGCTTTCGGCAACTAGATTTAACAAAACCACGAATATGTCGCGAAAACGATGTGACGATTGCAGGGAGAAGCGAAACATTTAAAGGGTTGTCGCAGAGCAAAAATCTGCGTATGAGATTATTAGGACTTTAACCCTGTGTATAGGCTATGGATGGGAGTTCCACGCTTTGTTCTATAGCAAACTTGGCAATATTATTTTCTTGATCGTTCACCCCTGGTTCCTGTACTGTTGCCGTCTTTCTTGTGTTCGTTCGGGCATAATCCTGTAAACTGACTTTAGCTACGCTCGCCACCCCCGTCCTTACGATACCGTACTCTCGAGCGCCTCGAAAAGCCTGTCCGTGTTTGAGAAAGAGCACCATATACAGACCGATCGAGAGTTAAGAATTTAGGACTTCGCCTGACGCTGCGATTCTGACCTTCCGCCCTGACTGGCCCAGTCGCAGTTGTCGATCGAGCCCCTGCTGGATTGCCTTAAAGTAAGGGTCATACCGAATGTCGATATTTTCAAATTGCCCTTAATTCTCGAGCTTCGGGTTGAAACTATCATTTTTTCCAACTCGTGTTTCTGCCTCACACGAGCTCTTGGCCTTCTCATCACTTCTACAACACGAGTCTGCCATGAAGACAGCGAGTGCAGATTTCCAATGATCGACACACCCAACATGATCAACAAATCATGCTACGTGATACATTCCGTTATCTCACAAGGATAAGAAAGACCGGCAGTTTCCACGTGAATTGGGGCAGGGGTTGAAGCAGTGTAAAGTACCTGCAGAGTGGCTTCGGGACGGTTTATAGTGGCTTTTGATGACGGAACACTTTCATACAGAATGTGTTTTCAGAGCAAGTGGATCAAGTCATGTACTGTGATGTTTAATATGTGGCTTCGGAGAATTTGCAGGCCTGAATCGCAACTATAACAGCCAGAAGCTTGTGTGAACCTAACCTTGCTCCTGTTCTTTTGACATTTGTACGACTGTGGGCTTGAACTTTGTGGTGTTGTCAAGATTTCTTACAACCGTGATTAACCTCCCTGACCAAAAGATGCTTTCATCGAGCAGGGAATCACAGTCATTCTCGTCAAGACCATTTGACATAACAGGCGGCAGTTGAGTACATGAGCTCGTTGGTATGTTTGTGCTGCTCATCAAGACATTATGTTCCGAAAACTGCCAATATCTTGGTGCTTGGTACTTGATTCAAAGACAAGGTAACCTTAGCTTTTTTCCACGGCTACTTACATTATGTATGTTGAAGATCGCCATCATGTTTCACAACAACTGCCGGTCTGCGGAATACTGAACCTTGTATACTGAGTAGCCATGATGATACGTTCGAGGCAAACGGTAAAGTGAATGTTGATATGAGTTGGAGTATTTGGTTCTATCGTCGAAAAATCTTAATTTATTGGTAGGGCCTGAAGAAGTATAAAGTCTGGTAACTCCTACCCACCACAGAAGACAAACCTTGATATCACCATCCACAACTTCACAATTCAGACCTTACACTTCACATCTACACAAACTACCCACCTAAAACCTCATCATGTTCTTCAAAACCACCATCATCGCTTCCGCTATCGTTGGCCTTGCTGTTGCTGTGCCCTTAAGCACCAACACCACCACAAGTGCCTGTCCCACCCTCTGCGTGGACGCTATTAACGACTGTGGTGTCATGTACGGAGCGTAAGTTATTCCAACTCCAAAGAGATACAAACATAGAACATTCAAGTTGCTAATTTATCAGATGCTATCCTATTTGCTCTCCTCACCTGTATCCTACACCACGGCCATGCACTCCTAGCACCCCTATCACTACGCCTACCATCACCCTTATCACTCGAGACATAGCCATCAATCTTATCACACCAACTCCTGAGTCCGCCACTAACTCGACTCTGTAAACGGATGGCTAGCCATTCTGATTTGGCTTGAGATGGAAAGAGTTTGGCGATGGAACGATGGAAGTGTTCGACATTGGAAGCTGTATCTTTCAGGATGATGTCCTTTCCTAGGCATTCGAGATTGTCATTAATCTAGTTATACAACACGTTCTACTCTAAAACTACCTAGACCTCTCCTAGAACTAGTAGTAGGCATTGCCTGGCGTGCTTGGGCTTCGTGAATAATCATCTACCGTTCCTGGGAACGCACCAACTGGTGCTGAAGGTCCACCCTTGACATCGTCATCTGAACTTAGGTCATCGACATATGTATCGTCATCCTCAGGTGGTGCGCGCATGGCTTCGAGGATATCCCTGTCTAGCGAGGGCACTTCATAGGGCTTGAGTGTATGAATCTCTCGCCCTGATGGCATCTTGCTAAGCAGCGTGTTGATGGGGGGTATTACTTGTGTGTTCATCTAACATAAATGTTAGCAAATAACATATCATTCTCGATGTAGTGCTTACTGTATCGTTAACTTTGTTCCACTTGGCATCGAGCATCTCTAGTACTCGAATCTCCTCCATCTTACCAGCATCGCTTCCCCAAGCAGACTCCTTATCCACACGTCGATCCTCACGCTTTTCAGTGAAATCCTTCTTTAATCGACTGAAGCTTAGTCCCTTCTTGTTATTGTCTTTGATCTCAACACCTAGCTCTGATAAGCCCGCACGAACCCATCCAATGCCATCTGCAACCTGACCACCTATCTCAGCATCGATTCCAAAAAAACGACATGCGCGAGCTCGGCATGTTCGTCGAAGATCTTCTAGATATTTCAGAAGAGCGATGTTGATCTTATGTGAACCAGAACCTGCTGTGCTGCATAGGGATGATGCTTTGGCTGCATGCTCTGAGGCTGCTAAACACAGTCGGGCATAAAGATGGGCGCGAACTTTTGGAATTTCAGGAGCCTTGAACATCCACTCCTTATCGTTCTTATTCCGGTCCTGGGCGACTATTGCTGGATACGGATCGTCTTTAAGAACGGCTAGTAACGTAGCTTCGGCCAATGCTAGAGAGCACAAGGCTCGAGCTGTCCCAGGAGCAACATCAGGACATGGAGGGGTCGCTGTAGCGTGCTTAATTCGACCTGCGAGATAATCATACACGGAAGCAGCTTCGAGGAGACATTTCGTTGCGGTTGTGACTGCATTTGTTCGCTCCTGGGCCCCGAGAAACTCGTTACTGGTGGAATAAAGTGGTTGTAAAGCAGACCGAGCTGTCAGAACATGAGAGAAGCCCAGAGTTGAAAATACAAAGGCAATTTCATGTTCCAAAGACGAAATCTTGACTCTGGCTCTCTCACGTCCTGGGACGACTTCGCCAGACAAAGTTGGTCTCCATTCGATAGCCGGGGGGGTCTTTTGCGTGACGATAGCCAGACCCTTGTTACTTAGACCGTCGTCCACTGCTAGTAGGTATGGGATGTAGCCATTGACGCTGGAAATGACTGTGTTTAGATTTGAGACCTGAGAGCTTGGGGGAAGTCTCTTGTGCTTTTTCAGGGCATCTCGAACTACCCCACGATATGTGCTGGCGTTGAGGGGCAGTGAAGGATGAGACTCGGAGCTGAAGCTTGATGAGAATGAGAAAGCCGAAGTTGTTGGGAGAATGAAAGGGAACGGCATTTTGAATTAGAAGAGAGGCCTCACTGTGAGGTTAGGTATAGAAAGACTTGCAGTAACAAAAAGAAAAGAGTCAAGATCAAGTTTTGAGTTCAATTGTTTTGCCAAGCTCTTGGTCCAGTCCAGGCCTGACGATACCTATCACCATAAGAGTACTGTACTGTGCGCATATCAGCTGTTTACGCACTGCTTCAAGTGACGTCTCTGCCCTGGCTTTAGCTCCGGGGTTCGGAAGCTCCTTTTCGGCCGATGCTCTACCTACAATTGAAGCTCCACCAAAATTTCCGGGGTCGCATTGGATGTCATTTAGTTAGAGCTTCGCTACACGCACGCTCTCTCCTCCTCCTTCATCAACCAAACCACTCTTGTTAATGACGACTTTCGCTATCTCGAGGTGACAATGGCTGGTCCTTCTCCGTCACCACACAAGCCTCGTCGCAAGGCTAATACCAAGAAACCTGGCAATGGCAATGGCGGCAGTGAAAAGGCCCCTCGCACAGAAGCCCTAGTACGAGCGCCCGCGTTCCCTCTCGCAGCGTTTCTGTGGCCGGCGCGGACTTCTTTGTCGCAATGGGAGGTCCTGCCCGTGATTCTGATGGTGGTCGGTCTTTTTCGATGGGCTGCTGGTCTGTGGGGATATTCTGGTAAGGATGGCCGCTTCGACTTGACCATCATGACACCTTTCGCTAACGAGGAGCTTGATTTGCAGGGTTCAGCAAACCGCCCATGTTTGGAGACTACGAAGCGCAGCGGCATTGGATGGAGGTCACGACACAGCTTCCCATATCGCAATGGTATTTCCACGATCTTCAATGGTGGGGTCTCGACTATCCTCCCCTGACGGCCTACCACAGCTGGCTTCTCGGCAAGATTGGCTCTCTCATCGATCCCTCGTGGTTCGCGCTCTTCACCTCTCGAGGAAACCAGGACCCCAACCTCAAGATCTTCATGAGGGCAACAGTCATCATCTCGGAGTATCTCATCTACGTCCCAGCCGCCATTGTCTTCGTGCGACGATATAGCAGACTTCAAGGGGTTACAAACTGGACAGCATGGCTTGCGCTCGTCGCGATCCTCATGCAGCCTGCTACCATTCTCATCGACCATGTTCACTTCCAGTACAACACCGTTATGCTCGGATTTGTCATGGCGAGCATGTCGAGTATGTTGGCTGAGCGCTACAAGTGGGCTGCTGTCTTCTTCGTCGGCGCGCTGGGATTCAAGCAGATGGCTCTGTATTATGCCTTCAGCGTCTTCTCCTATCTTCTCGGCCGCTGCGTCTACCCGCGACTTAACTTTACCAGACTCTTTGGAATTGCACTTGTGACAGCTGTTTCCTTTGCTATCCTAATTCTACCTCTGGTTCTTGGTACACTCTACGACAAGAGCCAGGGCATCGATGCTCATGGGGATTCCAAGGATTCTCCTTCGCTTCCCCTATTCCCTCAGCTTGTCAATATTCTAGACACTAAAGCCTTTTATTGGCCTATTGTGGAACAGTTGGTTCAGATGGTTCACCGCGTCTTCCCATTTGCGCGTGGTCTGTTTGAGGACAAGGTCGCCAATTTTTGGTGCGCCGCCAATGTCGTTATAAAGCTCCGACAGTGGCCAACAGCTCTTCTCCAAAAGGCAGCTCTTGGTGCTACTCTTGGTTCGATTATACCACCTAACATTATTCTCTTCCTGCGACCACGAAAGTCCACACTTCCTTTGGCTTTTGCTGCCACAGCTTGGGGCTTCTTCTTGTTCAGCTACCAAGTGCATGAGAAGAGTGTCTTGCTTCCATTGATGCCAATGACCTTACTTCTGGCTGGAAAGCACGGGTTGAACAAGGACACACGAGCTTGGGTGGGCTTCGCCAACCTCTTGGGAGTCTGGACTATGTTCCCTTTGCTCAAACGGGTCGACCTGAGAGTTCCATATGCGGTCTTGACCCTCCTCTGGTCCTACTTGCTCGGCCTCCCACCGACCTCTTTGAGCGCCTACTTCCAAGAAGGTCAAGCTGCCTGGTTGCAATGGTGCACAGCACTACTGCATCTGGTGTTCTATGTCGCCATGGGCGCGTGGCATGTTCTTGACACATTTGTAACACCACCTGTTGATAAGCCCGACCTCTGGGTCGTGGCAAATGTTGGAATTGGTGCCGCGGGCTTCATAATCTGCTATCTTTGGTGCTTCTTTAAGCTTATCCAGGAGAGCGACCTATTACCTGGAGGCTCATCAAGTAAGAAGGATAAAAAGAGCAAGACCTTGTAGAGAGGCATTTTTTTTGTCGATAATAGATTTCAATACGATTTTGATTTGGCGTTATCTCTCCATCGTTGTCCAAACTGCTAGAACGAGCTTGTTCAACTTGTGTCCTACTCTGTACCAGGTTATTCGTTAATGGGTGTAACTCTTTCGACATCCCATCTCGTCTATCGGATGAACATTCGTTTATGCTTGGGCAGCTTCCTTCAGAAAGCCATGACAGTAGTGGCTGACCAAGGTCGAGGAGCAACGCTTGGTTGTCGACTGATAGACTGCTTACACGACTCAGCCCGTTGGCCACGGGCGACGATAGCAATGAACACATTCTCATCGTCATTGACTTGGCAGCTTATAGGTAGACACAGCCGACACTATTGCTAATTAGACAGCAGGATCACCTTGGGGCAATAGATCTTGGTCTTTCAAGTATCGAGGAGAATTGCAAACTGCACTTGTTTGCAGAAAAGACCTTGGCGAGATGACTGGATAAGAGAGTTGTGTGTTTTGGTCAGACTTCTAGGATAGACATAAGCTGAGACATTACCCAAAAATTGTTGTCCTCTCGTTCAGTGACGACAAGATCTATGGATGATTATGAGATCTAAGATCATAGAAAGAGCGCAAAGATAATCCCTCCTGTGACATCATTAATTCCTGCTGATACAGGCCGCAGGAACGGTTCCAGCGTGACATTCTAGGCAAAGAAGGATTCAAAGAAGGGGTTGAATCGCGAGTACGGCAGATGAAGGAGCTGTTGGGATGAATGCGACTCCCGTTCAAGGCGCAGTCATGACCATGATGCTTTTGACACCGAGACTGGGAACATGGCCTCATCCTTCTTCGTATTAGAGATGATTGTGATAAGGTCAGTTCCTGGCCATGATGAAGGATGACAATGAGCTTAGATCTTGCTGTTGCATCGCCACTGAGAGCCTATCAATGCCACAGCCGAGATTCTTTACTATGAGCCCCAGAGTATGGACAGTTTCATGGCATCAACAAATGTCAGAAGGCCTGGAGCTAACTTTGCCAAGTGTCCAAGAAACCAAAGGCCTGAAATATGCATGTGCTTCTTGCCTGGGGTCGGATCCGATTTGAGAGCCTGGTCGAGATGATTGCAGATCTTTGCTGACACTAGGTCTCTTGGGGAAGTTGGGAGTCGTTCATTTGGAATTTCACATTCTACTTTGCCTCATCATCAGTGTCAGTCTTGGTAGCCAGTGCTCGAAAGCCAAGGGTAGATCATATCGGAATACGATGGACGCATGCACTTTCCAATCTGCAAGGTCGGGAATAAGATGCTGATTCTGGAAACGAGTGAGAGCAAGGTTCAAGACTCTTGGTTATCCCTCCCATGAGGCAAAACGACTTTGGGGTGAGGTTGGGTTGCATGCTTCGGGGAGGAGAAGAGCCATTGGGGGCCAAATGAATTGGGTGAGGAGATTGTTGATCTGGATCATATGCCAATGACCGAGAATCTACCCGATGCCTATTGGTGGAGAAGAGTCTTGTCGAGTAATATTTTATGCAGGATAACTTATCATGGAGTTGTTCTCGTTCACAAGCGAACCATGAGATACCAGGCTTTGGCCGATATGACGAGATATGGGATTGACGAGTAAGACAGAGCTGAAAGCGAGGATGGGACTTGGAAGGACGGACGCGTGGAAAAGACCCGAGAAACGAGAGACGAATCTGCAGGGCAAGGATATATAATCCTTGCCCTGCATTGACCGATCTTACATATTTAGAGAGGCCCTGGCTATGGTTATAAACATGGCGATGTGAGGATAGACCCCAAAGTCCCAATTTGGTCAACCAAGTCAAGCCAAGAGAAACGCAACGTGTCACTGCTTGGTGAACAAGTGTTTCATTTATTATCCCGTAGCCTGTGCAATACAGTACAATATACTCGGTAGTATAAGGTAGTATTAGATGGTGAGTATTGTATAAGGCTGAGATGATTTTCATAGCAAATTGCGGAGCGGCCAGGAATAGTTAAACTTGGGTTAACCCACAACAGGCCAACAGCTCCGAGAGAAAGAAACAAACCAACCTCGGCCGTGTTGCTCAGCCTTTGTTATGGAGTTGCAGTGCAGCTGCAGCTCCAACTGCAAGAGAGAGCAAAAGAGAAGAGGTGAGAGGTGAGGTTGAAGTCTTGGGCCCCAAAATAACTAGTGTCCGTTGCTGCAGCGCTTGGCATGGATACTAAGCCTACAAGCCCCAGCAAAAGTGCAACCTCAAATTGCTGCTTATTAGTTGAGGCTGGTGCTGACTGGTCGGATATAGAACATCCCTACATATAATCCTTGGATAGTGCTGACTGTGTCGGTACGGTACCTTGTTCGACAGTCTGAGCATTGGACTCCTACACAGCAGAAGTAGAATTTGGCTAATAAGCTGACAGTGGAGATTAGGAAAATCCTTTGAGAGAAAAAGACTTTTCTACTGTGCTGCAGTGTACAGTACGTAGAGTACTTTGGTCAGTTGTAGTGGTTGGTGGGAGAATCTAAGTCTAGGCTTAAGCATAGTGGCCAACTCTATCTTGAAACTAACAAAGCCCGAGATCACGACTTACACATAGTCTATACAGTATGATTTACAGTAACTTCACTCGAGCAAAAGAACCAAAAGACAGCAAAATATCAATGCTTCGTGATGCTCATCTCAATCTGAACAGGGCAGAGTTGTCTAGTGGGATCGCCGAGAGAGACAGAGACGAAAAAAGTGAGCGGGCTTTGGCCATCTTGGCTCCTTTGTTCACCTTCCAACCCATGCATCCTCCACCAACAAGACAGGCCCATATACGTAGATACGGGAACTCGTAGAGCAGATCCACAGATAGAAACAGGTGGTGTGCTGAACCGAAGCAGCGAAGCAGAGCTGTGCGTTCCCTCAGCCCCCAGAAACTCACTCTCAACGCCCCCCATCCTCCATCCCCTAGTCTCTTGACCCAAAGCCAAGAGATGCTCGAGCTGTCTGCTGTCAGCCCTCCTTATCCCGTCTTTGTCTAGCCCTGCCTCCTCCAATATCATCCATCCCATCCCTTCACCTCCCCTGTCATGTCATGTACTGCCCTATGGGTTCGCCGTGGTACAACGGCAAGGTAAAAGGGACGAGGGTTACCGTTCCCGTCTGTTGTGGACTGTGACACTTCTCTCTTCATTACTCAGCTCCTCCCGCCTCGTTTCTCCTCCTACTCCTCCTATTTCTCTCGTTTTGTTTCTGTTTTGTTTCGTCACTTTCACTCTTGACCCTAGAAACCTGGCTTGCTATACTCAAGCTGTTCCTCAGTTTCAACTAATTCACAATGGTTTCAAAGTCATTGCTAGTCCTCACGGCGGCTCTCGCCACGGCCTGGGCTCAGACAACAACAGACGAACCTACAGCAACAGCTGAGGAGTCTTCCACAGGAACTTCATCTGGAGAGGCTGTAACACACACTGTCAATGTTGGAGCAGTAAGTTGACATCATGAACACATAAAGACACATCAATGCTAACTAGTATACAGTCCGGTCACAAGTTTACGCCAAACGAGGTCAAGGCCGATGTTGGTGATATCATTGAATGGCGCTTCTATCCCACCGACCACTGGATTATTCGAGGCGATTATGACAACCCATGCATTCCCTATGAGTATATCGGAGTGAACCGCCAGGGTTTCTCAAGTGGCACACAAAAGGTTCAGGCCATCACCGACGATGTAAGTTGATCAAGTCTCTCAGCTCAAGTCTAGACAAGATGTTGACACTCAAACAAAGGGCCCTCGATACAGAGTTCGTGTAAACAACACCGATCCTATCTTCTTCTACTGCGGAGCTCCAGAGTCATGCTCCAAGTGGAAGATGATGGGTGTTGTCAACCCTGTAAGATATACACTCTTACATAAGTGGTACTTATGAACTAACATGACATCCAATAGTCCAAGAATGAAACAATTGAAGGATGGCTCAAGAACGCGAAGGACGTCGACATGCAACTACGACCCGGAGACCCTTGGCCGAAGGAGGGAGAGTCAACTTCTACTGGCGCAACATCTGAACCGACCGCCGACAACAGTGACGAAGATGACGAGAGCAGCGGGAGCGGCAAGAAGTCTCTCTCAACTGGAGCCATCGCTGGTATTGCCGTCGGTGGTGCTGCTGTTCTTCTCCTCGCTGGTGCCCTTCTCTACCTCTGTGGACGACGAGGTGGCTTCGACAAGGCCTATCGCAAGAGTTTCCGCAACAGCGTTCCTCCTGCTCCTCCAGTTGTCGAGAACCCTTACTCGCCTCACCCAAGTGTCGCTGATCCCTGGGCTGGCCAGAAGAGCCCTGGTCTCGTGGCTGCTCCTTACGGGCAGAGCCCTCCTCTCAGCCCCCACCACTCGATTCCCTATGGAACACACCCTGGCATGGTCGCTCAAGATGGAACCCCCATTTCATACCAGTAAGTTTCTCTGTTCTGATTCTCATCTGCCTATTCTAACCCTTCACAGCGAGGGTTATCATCACCCACCCATGGCCGCTTCTCCCGCTACAACTCCCAAGCCTCACGAGCAAGTCGCCCCCGTGGAACTCCCTGGCTCTCCAGACCCCAACCATTCTCCTCTCCCCGCGTACAACAACAACAATGACGGAAGGGGATTCTCATGGAACGGGGATGAGCAAGGATACCGTCCCACGAAATAGTTGTCACGTATACGAAATCCAGCAAGGCAGGTCGTACATATTACGGTGTATGCGAATCACTATAAAGCGGCGTTCAACGGGAGTGTCATGTTACACGGGAGTTCTGTAAAGGAAAGCATTTTGTGATGATGCGGTTTTTGTGCTTTTTGTGAAAATTCACTTATACTTTACGATATCAGGGATTTTTAATCTTGTGGATGGCTTAGGGATATCGCATACCTCATACCCTTGACTTGGATTCAGTTATTTACAATTATAGCTTGTTACTACTATAAAAACAATAAGTTATTTCACTGCACGAGTTTATTCAAGTGTACCAGATTCAAGATGTAAAGACACCAACCATAGATGTAAAACTCAATAAAACTCGCTGGAAAACAAAGACTTGGATAAGATGAAATTGAATCGTGCACTGGGAGATTGACTCGAAACAACAAAGAATTCGCAGTTGGTGCTGAAATTGCTGAGGTCAATGCCTAGTCTCAGATCCTCGACAGCCAAGCTCAATTTGATCATCGAGTGAAGAGAGCACAGGAGAAACTTGAGCCGCTGAGGTCATATGAGAACAAAGAAAACCCTTGACGACTTGATCCAAGTCGTAATTGACTGACGAAACTGATCATGTTTGCACACTACGGACATCGCCTAACACAACATGGCCGAGCAATGATCAGTGCAGTTTGACCAAGCAAGCCGATGGTATGCAGAAACAATTCACTGCTTAGAAAGGCCAATAAATTTCAAGGTAAATGAGGCGATAAAATACGGCACTCTACCGACGAAACTTTACAATGAACTCAGGAGGTTGGTTCGATCATCGTCGTTGGGACCCTGAACCAAGGCCTCAAGGTTTTACTTCTCAAGCAACTGACCAAAGAAACTCACCGAGAATCATTTCTATATCATCATCAGTCATAGGGTAAGTTGTGTGATGCCACACGCCGTCAGGCCGAACAGTCATACTTGGCAAAGTATGGTATGGCAGAAACCCTAATTGGAACCAGTTGGTGTGGCTTCACCGAACATGACAATACATCAAGACATGCTTTCACGAGAGACCATTCACAGTGTGACCAAATACTCGAAGAGCCGAACCGCCTTTTTAATTTTCATAGACCGTATTTATCCCATTTTTACAGAGACCCAATCCAGCCATGAGTGGCCAATCCATCCACGCCAGAGACACGTAAGAACTGGTAAACAACCCGTGCGTAGCATCTTCGAAATTCGTGAGGGGGCGTAACCGTGCAGATCTTTAGATAGAGATCGCTTAGTCGAAGAGACCGAAGCCCATATCCTCGTCGGACTCCTCCTTCTCGGACTCCTTGTCCTCCTCCTTGGCCTCCTCAGCGGCACCGCCAGCGGCAGCAGCACCACCGGCGGCGGCACCACCAGCACCGCCGGAGGGAACGGAAGCGAGCTTCTCAGAGCCCTCAGCAATGAGCTGAATGGTATGTTAGTACACTGCAGTCTCGTAGCGATCATCATTGAATCTTACCTCCTGGATGTCCTTGCCCTTGAGCTCGGAGATCAGGGTGTTGAGGCGCTCGTCGTCGGCCTCAATGCCAACGGACTCGAGAACGGCCTTGACATCGGCGGCAGAGGGGGAGGTGTTGCCTCCGAGGCCGAGAAGAAGGTAAGCTGCGAGGTGCTTCATTTTGATAGTGGTTTCTGATTCCAAAGATATTAGAAAAAAGTTCTTGTTGGAAAGATGTTGCAACTCGTCGAGTCCAAGCAGGGGGGTAAGGCACAGTTATATACTTACATCTGAAGTCGGAAGAGAACACGAGAAATCAATCACTTTAACCGCAAATTGGGCGGAGACTGAAACCTTCGAGTTCGGTGGTGAGGTTGTTCGGTGTGACAAAAAGTAGAAAAGTTCGCGATCCCGTAAAGGCGATTTTTGATCCTGTGGGAACCAAAACTTTGGCGACACTGTGGTCACGTGTGGCGGGGTTTTTTGGGCAAGACTCACGCCGAATGCACCTGAACCTTGAGACTTGAGACTTGAGAGGGTCATGGCGGGGAGAGATCGGAACAAGACAAACGCCGGATCCGTTGGGCGCACAGCCACAGACACCACATTCCCCACGTGACTGCGTTCAGCTTGTGGCGCTTTCCTGATTCCATGGCCTCGCCCATAAAGTTGGCTGTTGACTGATTCTTTGCTCTTCACTAACTGTGTGTTTTCCTCTTCTTTTGTTTCGTGATCGCCTGTATTTCAGGCGTATTTGATGAGATTTTCGAGCGAATACGACCACGAATAGCCCCTCTATCGACTCTGCGCCTCTTATCACCAGAAAGTCTTAAACTCGAGAGTTTAACGACGTCAAAAAAGTGCCTGACGACAGACCGAGTGAACAAGCTTTTGCCAGCCGCTCAATGACTCACAAGCCACGCCTGAGGCTACTTGTTCCTCTCTGTCTTTGAGGACTCGAGTCAACTGATATTTTTTAAAGTTTTTTTCAACTACATTAACGACGCGATGCCGGTGAGTAACTCCCCGGAGGCAAACTTCGTGAGTATCAGGAAAAAGTTGACCATGGCTTTCAAGATTGGAGACCTCCTGGCCCAGATCAGCGGTGGTGATGAGGGATCTTCCGTACCCCCCAAACAGGGCCTGGTCCGGTCCAACACGTTACCCAAAAGGAAGGCCGACGATGATCCTCGATCGAGTATTTCAAAGGCACCTCGAGTGACAACATTATCCAGTACCGTGGCACCACGAACGATACAATCCCCTACTGCTGTCTCAAGACCCAACCTCCCATCACGACCCGCCGAAAGATCGATACCCTCACAACGACCCTCGAACCCCTCGAATGGTAGTAGTAAACCTTCCGTCTTGTCGTCCAAACCCATGAATGGGGCTAACAGGGTCTCCAAGCCTGTTGCCCCCAGCAGACCGTCACCTGGTCCTGCCAGTGCACCTTCAGCACCACCGAAGAAGGGGTCTTTCGCTGAGATTCTTGCTCGGGCTCAGAAGGCCCAGCAATCAATGGGACAAGTTGGCAAAATCCAACACAAGAAGGTTGAAGGTGGTGCGTTGAAGAAGGTCAAAGATGAACCGCCTGCAAAGGTCGATCCTCGAGCAGCCAAAAACATGAAGCAACGTCCAGCATCTACTCACTCAGGCTACTCCGGTACAGCGAAACCAGGTCAAAGGCCAACTCAACGGAATGGTGTACCTGTGTCTGGAAACGGAAGGGATCCGCGCAATGGAAAACCCCTACCTCCATCAAAGGCAGAACGTGGCAAGATGGCCGGCAGCAAGTCGTCAGGTAGAGCTGCACCCCCTGAGGAAGAGACCAAGAAGGTGAAGAAGGCTGCCATGGCTACGACTGGTTATACTGGCACAGCCAGACCCAGACCAGGAGGTGACGCTGGCAAGAAGAAGGAAACCCCTCGCGGTGGCGCATTACTCAGTGCCCCACGGGCTCCTCGTCCATCACGTTCAAAGTCACGATTTGAGGACGATTACGACGAGGATTTGGATGATTTTATTGACTATGACGATGAAGAAGACGACGGTGGTCCACGATATGATTATGCTTCCGATGGTTCTTCAGATATGGAGGCGGGCATGGATGATATCGACGACGAAGAGCGGCAAGCAGAGCGACTTGCCAAGCTCGAGGATCTCAAAGAAGAGCGGCTCGAGAAGCAACTCAAGGCCGAGAAAGAGGCTCGTAAGCGACAGGCCTTGGAAGCCTCGCGTGGTCGGCGCTGATGATGGAAACATCTCAACGCCTCTTTGTGCCATCTATTTGGTCACTCACCTCAGCTGGGTCTATCGTGCTTGGAGCTTGCCCCCATAGCATCGGACATTATTACACCTCACTCACCTTTGGATACCTGCATCTTTCTTCCTTACTCGAGATTTCTTCATACGCAAGCAACGGTCGAGGAGTTTGTTAGTAAGGGGCGTTTCACGAGCTTGACTTTTTCACCACATCTTCACAATTACACCCCTTTGCACTTTGCGTCCGATTGTTTTAGGTTCAGGGGCTACATTAGCGACGGAGTTGTCATCTTTCCTCCCCCATTCTGTTTTCCTTTTGTTACGTCTTCATTTTCAGGGGTGGTTTGCATGGTTTTGGCAAAGGACACTGGCGATGCGGATGGATTAAAGACAAGAAGGTGATGAAATCATCGGAGCTTTTTTTGGCCAGGGATGGCAAAGTGGATGTACTGTAGACAGAGATGGATATATGTAGACAACGCTTCACAATGATATCGTTGTCTAGAAGTAATTGTTAAACCTCACGATTCCTACGACACCCTATCCTACACGCAAGACTTTCTATCTCGACGTGATCTGGTCTTGCGACTCTGGTGTTGTTACCTCAGTTCCTCATTCTATCGCTACGCCGTTAGCACAAACTTGGAGAGTACAGCGCACTCGCGCGATCATCGATATCTTCTAGGTTGTTATTTTACTGCAAACCAGTTGATACACTAGTCGTGTGTAACCATGAAAACCACAACTTTGCGGCGTCTATGGGTAGATCAATTGTTCATGCTGAGAAAGACTGGCTGGGCAATGCGCATAACAGAAGCATGAAGTATATATTTTCCGATCCCAACAAGTCTAAAATTTAGACGCCATTAATGCCCTTGACTGATTAAATAACGCCTCATTTTCCAGCCCAATCCAAAAGCAATGCACCCCATGAACGTCGCAACAAATGTGGTAAATAATCTTCAGTGAAGCTCGTCACTGATATAGCCATGCTCTTGAACAATGTTTAGACAACCTGACATCGTTTGGGTGCGTGAAAAAGGTGCAGAAACCCACAGTAAGCTCGACGTTAAGAATCGGCTGTTATACTTATACACAGTATATAGGGAAAAGGGATTCCAGGCCAGGACAACTATCCTTTTAAGGGGTACCAAGCCACAATCTGACGGGTCAGATATCTGTCAAGACAATATCAGGCCAGTACCGTGACATAAGTTGATCAAGGAAGATCGTCACTCTTGGACGACTTCCCACCAGTGCTTCCATAAGGCCTCAAGTTCCATCCTTGATATGGTTTGACTCCCTGAGTGCTGCTACCGTTGGCACCAGGGATAATGGACGGAGGTGGGTTATGACGAGGTAAGTTGGGCTCTCGCTTGATAGGTGGAGGGGGAAGGGATGCCGATGCAGCAGGAAGAAGGCTTGAAGGAGGCGGATGGGCCGGTAGGTCGGCCTTGACTGGCTGTGTCTCCTTTTTGACCTCAGGCTCCTCAGGCTGCATGAGCCCCTTTTTGCGAAGATACTGGATTGACTGAAGGACAGTAAGATCTTCTTGCTCCTTGTCGTTGAGAATCAAACGTTGCTGAATAGTGAGCCGTCCATTGTTGGCCTCACGATCCTTCATGGCTGCTTCGCGGACTTCAGGGTCGTGGACGAAGCGGCACTTGCCCTTCTTGCCACATGTTCCACCAGTGGAATAATATTTGCAGTGCTTGGATACATCGGCTTTCTTGGCCGGCGGAGGAGGCGGGGGAGCAACATGGGCACGAGTAGACATAACTTCTGGCTCGTCATCTGTTGACTCCTCTGATGGGTCTCGCATCTCGTCACCTTCGTCACCCTGTTCTCGCTTTCGCTTGATCGACGACTCAACTTTGCGCAACTGTCGTCTGAGTTTGTCGGCTTGTTTTTCTAGCGAGGAGGCCTTGTCTTCGCCATTCTGTGCCAACTCGGCATTCTTCTTGGCTTCTACGCGAGCCTTGGTGGGGAAATGCTTCTTTCTCTCCGCTAGGAAAGAGGCAACATCTTTCACACTATAACTGTTAGCAATATTATAGCGGAAGGGCTACTAGTACTTACTTGAGTGTTTCTTGTCCGATCAAGTCCGTCAAAACCTTCTCCTCACCTTCGTCATCTTCAGACTCCGAATCCATACCAGGAGTGAGGCCAAGAGTGTTGGTCTTGCGCTTCTTCTTCTTTCCCAAAGTTGGGGTTTCGGATTTATGATGAGCAGATTCGTTGTTTCCATGTTTCTGGTGACGTGACTTGTCATTTCCATGGTGACCCCCGCGACCTCGTGTGTTCCCGTCACGAAATCCTCCTCTACCGCGGCGGTTGTTGTGGCCGTAGTAGCCGTCCTGATGATGACCAGGGGGCAGAGGGGGGCCAGGGTAAGCCGGATACTGAGGAGGGGGATAGTGAACTGCTCGTGGGTCATGAGGATAAGGCTGACCATAGCCATTAGCTGGTGGCATGGCTTCATGCTCATAGCCAGGTCGCACGGGACCATTTAACGGGGGCTTTGGGCCATTGCGGTCATTGTAACCGCCGCGACCTCTCCCGTTGCTATAAGGGCCTCCAGGGGGCTGTCCACCACCACTCCACTGGGCCTGGTTTGGGGGAGGTGGCCCTTGGTAGGGGTAGGCCTGTGGAGCGCCGTAAGGTGGCTGTTGAGGGTATTGGGAGGGAGGGTATGGCTGGGCAGGATAGTTGGGATGGTAATTGCCTGGAGGCATAGAACCTTGCGGATGCCCATGAGGAGGATGCCCGTGCTCTGGTCCCCATTGAGGCTGCGGAGGGTAGCTTCCTGCAGGGGGATGCGCGGCACCGTAGGGGGGCGGGTTGTGATGGGGAGGATATGGCTGGCCATTGTATTCATAATGGCCTTGAGGGGAGCCGTGGTAGTCTCCACGACC